CATGAGTTTAGGAAATATGGATTAACCATAATATCCAGTCTTTATTTTGAATGTGATTTTTAAAAAGATTTTGATGAAATCTTAGATAGCCATTTTTGCTTTGATTATATTCAAAATAATATGCAATAGACTTAAAGATTGCTTTGAAAAACAAAATTTAATAAAATAGTTTTAGCTATAGAAAAATAACTAGATATAACTTCAATATTTGCTACATTGTAGTGAATATTGAAAATTACTATTTTGGCCAAAATATTCTGTAATGTAACCATGTGTGTAAGATATTGATTGATAAATTTAGTATGGTGGTCATATTATATTTATGACTTGGAAAGAAATAAAGACTAGCTTTTTCTTTCCTAATCTGAAAGATATCCTTTTCGGATATTACTTTCTTCAATTGTGTTTAGATTATTTTACCCACAAATTTGTTAATTTTGATTTTTAAAGTGATGTTTCTCAGTTTTGTTCTGTATTTTCTAAATCTTGACATGGTAATATTTCATAATTTTTTTCAGTAATATATGTATTTTTTAAAAGTTTAAATATAAATAAAGTGAAATGATTGGAAGAAATAATTGAAGAAGGTTATGTTTGCCAAGTATAATTTGTAAGATAGATATTTAAATTATTAGCTAATTTCTGCAAATTCACAATTTTAATTTTTTTTTTCCCCCCTAAAGACACTTGCTTAACAGCAAGGAATAGCACCAATTGCACATCTTCAACTTCTTCACTTTCTAACTACTTATATGTCTTCATCTTGGGACAACTATTGATAGGGACAGGGGGAACTCCTCTTTATACCCTGGGAACAGCCTTTATTGATGACTCGGTGCCTACACACAAATCTTCTCTCTATATAGGTAAGTTTTCTCTCTATTACTCAAATGACAGCCCCAGTATCATTTTGTTTTATTGTTTGTTTACTTTATAAGTAAAGCATGATATAGACTTACTAAAAAGTTACTTGTAGTGTCATATTTCCATTAGATAAATGCAATATTACTTCTTTTTCTATAATTATTTACTGCCATATCAAGTCAGTAAATGGAATATGTAATGATTTTTTTGACATCCTGCTCTATTTCTTGCTCTGGGCATGCCAACTTTTCTGGATGGGAAGAGCCATCCAAGCAGCACTCTGTCTAGATTGGTTGAATTACACAGGGTGTGGAGATGGTGACTTATTACATCCTACATGGACTTGACTAGAGTCCAGAAAAGAAACCACAGTGTAGTGCCTAGAAACTCTGTGGAGTTTTCCATTTCAAATCAACCTTTTTTATAGATCAACCCTTTTTCCCCCTTTTTAAAAGGTCATCCTTTTTTCAAATCAACCCTTTTTTCCCCCTAATTTCTGGTAGCATAAGTTTCTCTTAAAATTCTTCCCTGTTCTTGCAAGGTAGAGATAACAAGACTATTCATGGCTCTACATCTAATCATTGCATACTTAATTTGTACATGAGTTTTCTCTTTGTTGGTCTACTTCTCTAAAATTGGAGATCCATTGTCACAGTCACTGGAAGTCAGTGTGTTCATTACAGTCCTGACAGTGACTAATAAATCTACTTGGGCACATTACTAATATGGAAAATTCTACAGCAGTTTTATACTTCTACAGTACTTATGAATTATCAGTCTAACACAATTAGAAATTATATAAATAAAAAGGTCCATCACCAAAGATGATTTATGAATCACTGATTTCCTGCATTTTAAATCATGTACTTTTATTCACAAATTTTTTTTTTGTTTTTTTCTTTGGTGGCTGGCCTGTATGGGGATACAAACCCTTGACCTTGGTGTTTTAACATCACACTCTAACCAACTGAGCTAATCACAAATTTTTTTTGTGCATGAATCCTTTATAAGTGCACACTTAACTATTTACAAATTATATACTTTAATATTCTGCTAATGTATTTTTTACATTTTAAAATATAGTTCGAATATAAATTAAGGTAGTTGACAGATGAAGTTTTTATATTTTTTTGGATTATCTTGCATGAGCTTTACTTTGGAGACTTGATCCAGTATATGTCACTTTCTTCATTGATATGTGCTTAGTTTTGGATATAAAGTTCCCTGTTCTTTTGTGTAAGAGAACAAGAATCTCAGAAGTTATTAAAAAATCTAGATGGTGGCAATACAACAAGACACTGATATATGCATAAATTTTGCTTTGTAAAAATTTGAAGTTATATATAGCAAAATTTTAAGTATCTGACAGAGAGAAAGAAGCTCAGTTTAATTCTGCTGAAAGTAAAGATGGGGAGAGTCACCAAGAGGAGGTTTTAACTAATTGCACACATTTAAGAAACAGACTTATCAGCAGATCCAGGTTTTGAAATCAGTTGGTGTAGTACAAAAAAGAATGCTTACCAAGTATGTGCAGAGTGGAAAAGCCTTATTTTTACCTTGTTTTCTTCTGTGATATTGTAAACAGTAATTATTATCACTATCAGTAAAGGATAATAGTAGATTATATATTGCAACCAGTTAACATAATATAACTTCTCATGGATTTATAATTATTGGGTTTATTGTAATAATTATTACAGTCAAACAGCTTTTACATTGAAGTCATATATTTTAGGCTCCTTGACTTGACCATTGACCAAATGATACCACTGAAGTGGTATTTTTTAGTGAAAATATGTGTAATTGTTTTTGTTTTTTTTCGCAGCTGGCTGGGATGTAAGCCTTACCATTTAGATTTTTCTACGGTAAAATATTTGTCTTTCTTCACTGTTGTTAGATATGCAAAACAAAGTTGTGCATATGACTATTTTTAATGTCTGTTGTTCTAGGAATCGGCTATTCTATGTCAGTCTTAGGCCCTGCTATTGGCTATGTGGTGGGAGGACAACTGCTAACCATATACATTGATGTTGCTATGGGACAAAGGCAAGGCAATATCTATTTTTCTTTCATTTAAATTTATTTTATTTTAATAATGCTAACATCATAGACAGAACATTTTACATTTCCTTAATATAGCAAGAGGGATTTTTCAGGAAACAAAACTGAATATGTACATTCAATTTTTTTATAATTTCTTACTTTGGCTGCATTTCTTTATGAATCAATACCACACCATCTTTTAATGTAATAATGCATTTATTCATAAATAAGAATGTTTAATAAAGTCACCTGGTAAAATTTTTAGAAACATATAGGTATTTTTTTGAAAAAACATTTTTTAATTTCAAAAGTTTTGAAAATTTTTTTTTGAAAAATTTTTTTTGAAAAAGTTGAAATTAAAAAAATATACATTTCTTGGTATTTCAAAAATATAAAAATTCATAGTTCAAAAAACAAGAATTCAATAAAAATTTGTTATGTTTTCAGTACATTTAGTTGGAGGTAGATAGTCTGAAGAGTTTCAAGAGTATGTGGTTCCCAGAATAAGTTCTGTAGTTGCTCTGGTAATGTCACAGACATCACAATTATGCTGCTTTAACAACTGTGATAATAAAGAAGAATAATAGGTAATACTTACTTATTCTGAACTATGTTCCAGATGACATAAGTTTTGTGTGTTAACTTCTTTCACGTGCTATTTAATCCTTCCAATATTCCTATAAGGTAGTCAATACACACAGGTTGGTATGTGGCCAAGACATGAGTTGAAGTAGATCTTTTTCACTCCAAAGTCCCCCTCTTAACTACTGAGTTACCTTCCCCTTTCCCTGAATAGAGAAGTTGGTGTTCTTTGGTGTGGCCACATTTCCTCATTTTACCCTGGGACTCATAACTGCACAATCCTCTGAATGACCATGAGCAAAGAATAAGAAAATGTTATGGGTATGTGATTAGTTTTCTGAGCTGTTAGTCTGAGGTTAATCTTGTAGAAACTGTAAAAAGGTATGACAAAGCCCTTGAAGTAGAAAGTCAGGTTTTTAAGAAAGGATATTTTAATTTCATTGAAGAATTACAAGAGTAATTGGTGTGTTTTTGGCAAGGGTTTATTGATATAAGTATATGAGAACCATTATAAAAACTGTTAATAATACTTTAAGAATAATTTTACATTTAAAGAAATGCCATGATTGAAGTGCAATGTATGGGCAAATCATAGCTCAATGATTTGCTAGGAGATGTATTTAATTTAACACAGTAGAGGATAAAAACTTAACCAAAGTTAAATAGTATTTAGAAATTGTATGTATGTTTTCAAACATTCATCATACTTATATTTACGATTAACATTTTTTTTTTTTTTTTTTGTGACTGGTAAGGGGATCACAACCCTTGGCATGGTGTTGCCCACACCGCACTCAGCCGGTGAGTGCACCGGCCATCCCTTATATAGGATCCTAACCCACGGCCTCGGCGCTCCCAGAGCCGTACTCTCCTGAGTGAGCCACAGGGTCGGCCCTACTATTAACATTTTAAACTTTTATATCATTTTGCCATTTTGAAATACTTTGAAAACTACTATTATTATAACTCTCATTTATTCCTGCCATCTGCTGTCTGATTTATCACAATGGCTCTGTTAAAATTTTGGGTATTATAATATTCTACTGTATGCACTTGAATTATAAAGTATACAAGTACTATAACTAAGTTTTAATTAATAAAGTAGAGTTGACTTTTACCTCTTGTTTTCCTTTCACCTAGCACTGATAGCACTGATGTCACTGAGGATGATCCACGATGGTTGGGAGCTTGGTGGATTGGATTTCTTATATGTTGGTTCTTTGCTTGGTCTTTGATAATACCTTTTTCTTGCTTTCCAAAACATTTACCAGGTAAACATGGTTTTTTTTTTTAATAGAGAGTTTTATTTTAATTCTAGGCCAGGTGTTGTTTTCTGTGTGATTAGTAAGAGTCACAGATTGATCCTATTTGTTTTATAGAACTTCAGTTCCTGCCTATGAAAACTTTTGAATATCTATCTTCATTTTAGGACATGTTGTGTAGAAATTTTAATAGCTATGGGTTTTATTTATTTCCAATTAATAATCAATAAAATTGTGTGCATATTCACCTCCTTACTACTTACTAAATTTATTTCTTATATTTTATCTGGAATCTTGCTTTATATGTTTTCAAGATACAAAACCTTTTAAGCTATTAATTTGTATTCAGTTAGTCACTATTTTCAAGGTCCAATCTGCCTTAAATCATTTAAATTAATTATTTGTCGTTGAAAGTACAAGTGCTTATTTTTTTCAATTATCACCAAAGTCACACTGTTGTATACTCATTTTTTTTTTACCATATTTTAATATTAGACAGTCTGTCCAGAAAGATGAGGTTAATGGAAAAAAATCTACTCCTTCCTCTGAGATCTTGCTTCTGTATAATCATGTAATTAAAATACATATCTGGGCCAAGAGATGAGCCCAGCCCAGGAGACCTGAGTGGTGGCGCAGTCTGCCCCTCTCCCCCTGGACCCAGAAGGAGATGCCACACTGAGAGGTGAGTCGAGTGGCTCATTCTAAGGTTGCAGATTTTGGAATAGGACCCAAGGTGGTGTATTAGCCACTACCACACCTACTCTCAAGCAAGGACCGTACACTACCGCAGTAGCAGCTAGGCCAACTCTCAACACTCAACTAGAGGCTCACTCAACTGCACTGTTAGAAGAAGAGCCACCAGTAAAGACTGCAAATAGAGGAAGAAATCTTTTTTTTTTTTTTTGTCTTTTTCCGTGTCCGGCAACGGATCGCAACCCTCAGTGTTGTCCCCGTACCGGACCGGGGACCGGCAACGGGATCGCAACCCTCGGTGCTGCTCCTGCGCCTCGCTCAGCCAGAGAGCAGGAACCGGTCTGTATGTGGGATCCGAACCCTCGGGCGGGAGCGCCGTTGCGCTTCCCAAGCGGCACACTATCCAGTGCGCCACCGGGCCGGCCCCAAGAAATCTTGATTCTCATATCCAACCTCAGTGTAACAGAAGAAGCAAACCCTCTACCAAAACGACTAAATGTCAATGAAAAAATACTACAACTACAAATAAACAAGAAGATATGACACCACCAAAGGAATACAGCAATGCTCAAATTTCAGATTCCTTGGAACAGGGAACCCTTGAAATGTCTGAAAAAGAATTCAGAGCAATGATCTTAAGAAAACTCAAAGAAATAAAAGAAGATTCAATTAGAGAACACAATGAAACAAGAAAAAATATCCAGAATATGAAAGAGGAAATATGCAAAGAGATTAATACCTTAAGAAAGAGTGTAGGAGAACTCCTAGAAATGAAAGATTCACTCAGTGAAATAAAAAAAACCCATAAAACAACAGAGAGCTTGAGCAGTAGGGTAGAGCAAGCAGAAGAAAGAATCTCAGATCTCGAAGATAGTCTTTTTGAAATAACCCAGGCAGACAAAAAAATAAATAAATAAAAAGTGAAAAAGAATAAAAAATAATAAGGAAAATCTAGAGAGATAACAGACAACTTCAAGTGCTCTAACATCTGAATTTGTGGGTTTTCCAGAAGGGGAGGAGAAAAGAAAAGGTATTGAAAACCTATTCAAGAAAATAGTAACAGAAAACTTGCCAAGTATAGGGAGAGATACAGACCTTCAGATCCAGGAAGCTCAAAGGTCTTCAAAGAGATTCAATCCAAAAAGATTCTCCCCAAGACACATTATATTTAAATGTGCAAAGCTTAAAGACAAAGAGAGAATTCTAAAAGTAGCAAGAGAAAAGCATCAAGTCACCTTTATGGGAGCCCACATCAAACAGCAGTCTTCTCAACCAAAACACTACAGGCCAGAGGAAAGTAGAATAATGTATTCAAAATACTAAAAGAAAAAAATTGCCGGCCAAGAATTTTCTACCCAGCAAGTCTCTCCATCAGAAATGAGGGAGAAATAATGTATTTCCGAAACAAACAAAAGTTGTGGGAATTCACCTACACATGACTAGCCCTGCAAAAAATTCTCAAGGTAGTACTGCATCTGGAATCTGAATAATTATGACCTCTATCACAAACACACAAGAAAGAACAAGACCCACCATTAAAACAAGTATGCCAATGCAGAAAGAAGCTATATCATGCCACATTAAATCTCCAACTAAGATTGAAGGAGAGAAATAAATGGGGAAGTAATGATCAAAAGATATTTAAATCATCTAAACAAAAAGCAATTAAATGACAGGAATTAAGCAATACTTGTCAATAACTGCCTGAAGTGTGAATGGATTAAACTCCCCATTTAAAAGACACAGACTGACTGACTGGATTAAAAAGCTAGACCCAAATATATGCTGTCTCCAAGAGACCCACCTCACCTGTAGAGACACACACAGACTAAAAGTGAAGGGATGGAAAATGACATACCATGCAAATGGAAACCAAAAATGAGCAAGAGTAGCTATTCTTATATCAGACAAAATAGATTTTAAATCAAAAAACATAAAAAGTGTCAAAGAAGGCCACTATATAATGATAAAAGGATCTACCCATCTAGAAGACATAACAATCATAAATATATATGTACCAAATACTGGAGCACAGAGATATGTAAAGCAAACATTCTTAGATCTAAAAAAAAGAAATAGGCCCTAATACATTAGTAGTGGGTGATCTGAACACCCCTCTCTCAGTATGGGACAGATCTTCCAGGCAACAAATCAACAAAGAAACACAGGGTTTAATCTACACCTTAGACCAACTGGACCTGGCATATATATACAGAACATTTCACCCAGCAGCTAAAGAACATACTTTCTTCTTATCAGTTCATGGAACATTCTTAAGGATAGACTACATATTAAGTCACAAATCTAGTCTCAGCAAATTAAAAAAAATTGAAATCATTCCAAGTATCTTTTCAGACCACAATGGACTAAAACTGGAAATTAATAATAAACAAAACTCTGGAGACTATACAAATACATGGAAACTAAACAATAGGCTCCTGAATGACCTATGGGTCCAAGAAGAAATGAAACAGGAAATCAAAAAAGTTCTTGAAACCAATGAAAATCAAGATACATCACATGAAAACCTGTTGGACACTGCAAAAGCAGTACTAAGAGGCAAATTTATTGTAGTAAGTGCCTGCATCAAAAGAATGGAAAGACTTCAAATAGACAGCCAAACACTATGCCTAAAAGAACTTGAAAAGCAACAACAATCCAAACCTAAAGGTAGTAGATGGAAAAAAATAATTAAGATCAGGGCAGAACTAAATGAAACAGAGACACATAAAATAACAGAAAAGATCAATGAAACAAAAAGTTGGTTTTTTGAAAAGATAAATAAAATAGACAAACCATTACCTAGATTAACAAAAGAAAAAAAAAAAAAGAGAGAAGACCCAAATAACAAAAATCAGAAATGAAAAGGAAGACATTATAACTGATACCACAGAAATATGAAGAATCATTAGAGACTATTATAAACAACTGTATGACAACACATATGAAAATCTGGAAGATACGGATAAGTTTCTAGACACATACAAATTACCCAGACTGAACCAAGAAGAGAGAGAAAAACTGAACAGACCAATAACAAGCAATGAGATTAAAGCGGTAACCACCAATCTTCCAACAAAGAAAAGTCTGGGTCTGGGTGGCTTTACAGCTTTACAGTTGAATTCATCAAAACTTTTAAAGAGGAGTTAATAAAAATTCTCTTCAAACTATTCAAAAAAACTGAAACAGTAGCTACTCTCCCAAACTCATTCTATGAGACCAACATAACTCTAATACAAAAACTGGATAAAGACACAATGATGAACACAGATGCAAAATTCCTCAGCAAAATATTAGCAAGCAGAATACAGCAACACATTAAAAAAGTCATACACCATGATCAAGTGGGATTCATACCAGGGATGCAAGGATGTTTCAACACACAAAAGTCAATAAATATGGTCCATTACATCAACAAAGTCAAGGACAAAGACCATATGATTGTCTCAATAGATGCTGAAAAAGCATTTTAAAAAAATCAACGTCCTTTCATGATAAGGACTCTCAACAAATTAGATATAGAAGGAAAGTGTCTCAACACAATAAAAGCCATTTAGGACAAGCCCTCCACCAGTATCATTCTGAATGGGGAAACTTTGAAGGCCTTTCCCTTAAGAACAGGAACAGGAGAAGGATGCCCACTCTGACCACTTCTATGTAACATAGTACTGGAAGTAGTAGCCTGAGCAATCAGGCAAAAGAAAGAAAGAAAGGGACTCCAGCTTGGAAAAGAGGAAGTCAAACTTTCTCTATTTGCAGATGACATGATACTATATATAGGAAAACCTAAAGGCTCTGTCAAAAAATTCCTAGAGCAGGTTAATAACTTCAGTAATGTTGCAGGATACAAAATAAATGCCCCCAAATCAGTTGCATTTATATACTCAAATAATGAGCTAACAGAAAGAGAAATAAAAGTAAGCCCATTTACAATTGTCATGAAAAAATAAAATGCCTGGGGATCAATTTAACCAAGGATGTGAAAGATCTCTACAATGGCAACTACAAACCACTTCTGAAAGAAATTTAAAAAGACACAAAAAAGGTGGAAAGATATTCCATGCTCTTGGATTAGAAGAATTAACATTGTGAAAATGTCTATACACCCAAAGCAATTTACAGATTCAATGCAATACTCATCAAAATACCCATGACAGTCTTCATAGAAAAGGAAAAAAACAGTCTTAACTTTCATGTGGAACAACAAAAGACTCTGAATATCCAAAGCACTCCTGAGAAAAAAATAAATAAAGCCAGAGGCATAACACTATCAGACTTCAAATTATACTACAAAGGTATTGTAACCAAAACAGCATGGTACTGGTATAAAAATAGACATTCAGACCAGTGGAGCAGCATTGAGAACCCAGAAATCACCCTTCAGGCTTACAGCCATCTGATATTGGACAAAGGCAACAAAAATCTACAGCGGGGAAAAGACTGCCTCTTCAACAAGCGGTGCTTAGAAAACTGGTTATCCATACACAGAAGAATGAAAGTAGATATGCACCTCTCATCATACACTAAAATCAACTCAAAATGGATTAAAGACTTCAGTATAAGACCTGAAACTGTAAAATTACTAAGGGAAAATATAGGTGAAACACTACAGGAACTAGGTCTGTGCACAGACTTTATGAACATGAGCCCAAAAGCACAAGCAGCAAAAGAAAAAATAAACAAATGGGACTGTATCAAACTAAAAAGCTTCTGCACAGCAAAGGAAACAATATCAGAGTGAAACAACAACCTACAGAGTGGGAGACAATTTTTGCTAACTATGCATCCAACAAGGGATGAATATCCATAATATACAAGGAACTCAAACAATTATACAGTAAAAAAAGAAATAACCCAATTGAAAAATGGGTGAAGAAGCTGAATAGACATTTTTCAAAAAACGTACAAACTGGCAACAGGTACCAGAAAAAATGCTCAACATCACTAGTCATCAGGGAAATGCAAATAAAAACTACATTGAGATACCACCTCACCCCAGTTAGACTGCCTATAATCAGAAAGACAGTGAATGCTGGTGAGGGTATGGAGAGAAGGGAACACTCCTACACTGTTGGTGAGACTGTAAGTTAGTACAACCACTATGGAAAACAGTATGGAGGTTTCTCAAACAACTACAAATAGATCTTCCATATAATCCAGCAATCCCACTTCTGGATATATACCCAGAAGAATGGAAAACATCATGTGGAAGGGCTACCTGCACTCCCATATTGATCGCAGCTCTGTTTAAAATAGCCAAGACATGGAACCAATCTAAATGTCCACCGATGGATGATTGGATAAGGAAAATGTGGTATATATACACCATGGAATACTACTCTGCAATAAAAAAAGAATGAAATACCCCCATTTGCAACAACATGGATGAACCTGGAGAAAAATATGTTGAGTGAAAGAAGGAAAGCATGGAGGGATAAATGCCACATGTGTTCACTCATAAGTGGGAGCTAAGAGAGAAAGAAGTAAGGAAAGAAAGACCACAGTGGTGCGTTGGACTTGCAGAGGGAGAGAGCATTCTTTGGGGTACAAATAGCAGTGGGTGGGAAAAGGGGAGGGAGAAGGAGGTTGGGGCTAATTGGGTGAGGGACATGGGGTACAAATGCTATTTGTGGTAATGACTATGCTGCCAGCATGAATCTGGGCTTCACATCTTAGGCCCAAGGGGTGATGATCAGCTTGGTATCTCATGAATATTCATAACCAATAAAATAAAGTACACATCTGTATAAGTATTTTTCTGTAGACTGAAGGTATTTAGTTGTTTTATTGTTATTTGAAACAGGATAGATGATTAAATTTTCGAAATGGGTGAAAGAAAAGTTGGCAGACTAGAAGAAGATAGAATCATTCATTTCTTTCTACCTGAGCTATCCAATTTAAAATTCCATATGTTGACTGTTTTCTCAAATTTATCTACAGTACCATTATTGCAAATTAAAGGGACATGGCAATAGATGGTAAATATTATTTCATCTGCTAAGTATATTAGAATTAAAAAGAGCAAAGTTAAAAAGCCACAAATGTACTTTAATATATAAAGGATGAAAAGGAGACTCATTAGGAAGGAAGAAAAATTTTTAAGAGATTTTAATTGGAGACAGTAAAATGTGATTAGAGGAAAATTGTCTCATTTTAATGTTTAGACTAGTTGGAATTTCCTTAAGCTAGTGGTAGTGAATGCTAGCTCTTCGGACAGCCTGATTACAGATGTAGATATTTGTACAATTTTGGTGACAAAGTGAGGAACTGGCCTTTTATGTTATGGAATTGATATACTTGTGGAAATGTGTGCCTTAAAAAGTAAGCATTTTTTAAAATGAAGAATGAACTACATTTACTGTTTTTTTTAGGTACAGCAAAAATTCAAGCTGGAAAAACTTCTCAGACTCATCAGAATAAGAATAATTCTTTACAATATGCAGATGAGAATTTTGGAAAAAGTATTAAAGATTTTCCAGCTGCTGTAAAGGTAAAACTGTTCTCTCTCTCTCTCTCTCTATCTCTCATACATGTACACACTCACACTCCACATGTACATATTTGTAGATGTGTGTGTATGTTACATACACACATAAATAACTACACATGAATACATATACATACACACATACAAGAGTACTTCAAAAAGCTTGTGGAAAAGTAGAATGGAAAGGTAATACAAAACTTTTCATGAACTTTTTGAAGTACCCTCGTAATATGTATACACACAAATATTTTCATAGCATATTTTTTGTTGCTTATTTACTACAGTTCTAGTTCTTATAAATAACTCTTCAGATTTAGTTTTATTATCCTTTGAGTAAATAAAAACTATTCCAGAGCAGAATGGTTGAAAGAGCGTAAGTTATCTTGTTGGCAATATCAATATTCAGAGGTTCCTTGTTAGCGCTATAGCCCAGTATTCCATGCCACTTCCCTAATGTAATGAATTGATCAGTTATCACTGAACTGTAAATATATATTTGATAATGCCAAACCAATACTTTTCCCTGATGAGAGATGTGGTAGTTAGTGGTAACTTAATTTGAAATTGAGGTTAAAGAAACAAAAGCGTTATGTTCTATTTTGTTTTACTCAGAAGAAAAACTATTTAACATCATAAAAGCTTTATTCATAAGAGTTTATAATGAATATTTACTTTTCATTATTTTTTGCTTCCTTCTCAAATGAAAATTTTAAAGTGTTTTAACTTCTCCACTCAGCACACCTTTCAACTCTCCCTTCCTCCTCCCATATATGCACATTCTTGTATTTTGCTGAGATTGTTCATAATTTTTAATTCCAACTACAATTATTACAGTAGTTTTGTTCTATTTCATATATTTCTATTTAGCTTATTTTATAAATGCTAGTTTATATTACTAACAAGAGTCATTGCCCACCATTGCTTTGCTTTTTTAATCCATATGGTCTCTTGCTTACAGATCTCTATTCTGATTCACATTGCTATGGATGAGCATTTTGTTGCTGCTTTTCCTTGGGTGGAATACGACTTATGTTATCTTTGAATGTCTGAATGATATTTCTCACTGAACAAATGCTTTTGGGTCATTCCCCCTTAATTTCAGTAGTCTGTGGATATTGTTTGCTCTTTTCTATTTAAATGTGTTGCAATTGAGAATTTCCATTTTGATGCAATTCTATTTATTCCATCTCTAAGTTAGTAAATTTTTTTTTTTTCTTTTTTTCCCTTTTTGTCTTTTTTCGTGTCCGGCAATGGATCGCAACCCTCAGTGGCGCGCCCGTACCGGACCAGGACCGGCAACGGGATTGCAACCCTCGGTGTTGCTCCCATACCTCACTCAGCCAGTGAGCGGGATCCGGTCTGTACGTGGGATCCGAACCCTCAGCGGGAGCGCCACCGCACTCCCAAGCGGCACACTGTAGCAGTGCGCCACCGGGCCGGCCCCTAAGTTTGTAAATTTTTAAATTTATTTTTGAATTTGGGAAATTTAGTTGATTATGTCTAAGTATCTGGCTTTTTTCATTACTCCTTCTGGGAATCCATTATCTTTTTCAATTTGAAGACTTAAGTATTTTCTACTACTACTATTATTATTATTATTATTACAAATTATTGCATGTTTTCATCCAGGTACTTCCTCTTTTGTCTCTCCTGTTATTCTTAGGTTATCTAACTCTGACTTCTAAATCTCTTACCCTGCCCCTTTGTGACTCCTGTGTGTGTGTGTATGTATGCGTGTGTGAGTAGGTGTATGTGTGTATGTGTTGCTTGGTTTTATGAAATTTTTTTTGAATTTAATATTTCAGAATTATAATTTGGTTTTCATTTTGTAGTTAAATATATTAAAACAATGGATCTCTCTGTTCCCCTGTGTAGATAAATAAGATTCTGAGAGCTCTAGCAATATAGACACCTACTTAAAGTTTTTATACCCTACACCTCTCTAAGTTATCTTAGACTATTAAGTCCTTTAATCAAGGAAGAACACTATGAGTTTGGTAGTCACAGTCTCATTTATGCTCAGTCTCAAATTCTTCATTTACTAGACATAATTTAAAAAAACTGTAAAATATTAAATAGGAAGTAGACTTACAGTAAGCATATTTTTAGTAAGACTGGGGAAGGGAACCTTTCTAAGTGGGCTTTTACCTCCTTTCCTCAGTCCTTCAAATGTGATAAAGGCATAATCACTGTACTGATGAATCATCTGTCAGTACTCCAGGTACCCCACCCATAAATTTTCTCATCATTGTATATGTAAATCTATTAATTATCTTTAATTATATTTTTGTGCTGGAGGAAATGCTGAAATTTTATAGGTAATTATATTGTGTTTATTAAAAATTGTACTATTATATAATGTACATTCTAATACTGTACTTTGCAGTGTGATCATAGTTATTCATTTGGTTAACTGTATTTTTTCTTTAGAATTTGATGAGGAATACTGTGTTTATATGTTTAGCTCTATCAACATCTTCAGAAGCCTTAATTTCTACTGGATTTGCTACATTTTTACCTAAATATATAGAAAATCAATTTGGATTGACATCCAGCTTTGCAGCTACCCTTGGAGGTAAAACATTTCCTTTGTTCTAATTTAATCTAATACTTTTAATTTACCACATTACATTTTTATTAGGATAATATATAATTTTAGGTATTCCATTCCTTAAAATTTAAACTTTATGCTAATTTTGATAAAAATTTCTGTTTTTCTGACCTTAGTCAATCCATTGTATGAACTTGAGAGAGACAAAGGTTATAAGGCAAAAAAGAATTTGTGTTAATCTTTTTTTAAAAAAAAATTTAAAACAATTTTTTGGTGGCTGGCTGGCACAGGGATCCAAACCCGTGACCTTATATAAGGTTATAAGGTGTTATAAGGCTGTGTTCTAACTAACTGAACTAACCGGCCAGCCTGGAATGTGTGTTAATCTAAGTGTTCAGTACATTAATTTTACTACTTCCTTACTTAATGAAACTATTAAGTCATTTATGTATATATTTCTATATCAAGTGAATACATTTGTATGTTAAAACTGTATTGGTGCTTGTTTTTGATGCCTTCCAGTTGTTGGTATGAGTTACTGAGCGTACTTATGTGTTTTCTCACCGTCTGTGCCTTCTTTCTTATTAGGGGCTGTTTTAATTCCTGGAGCTGCTCTTGGTCAGGTTTTAGGCGGTATCCTTGTTTCGAAATTCAAAATGACCTGTAAAAATACAATGAAGTTTTCATTGTTCACATCTGGAGTTGCTCTTGCGCTGAGTTTTATATTTATTTATGCCAAATGTGAAAATGAGCCATTTGCTGGTGTGTCTGAATCATATAATGGGTAAATATATTTCAATGCTTTTTGATATTACTATCAGAGTAATAAACTATGTATGCATTTCCAAGTATATGCTTTCTTAAATAAAATGGTGAGAAATTGTCTCTTTTTTTCTTAATCAGAAGACTTTCCTTTTCTATTTAAGAATTTTTTTGTTTTCTGTTTTGTTTTGTTTTTTAGTTTAAAAAATTGATGTATTATTAAAAGTTGGGGATATTTATTCAGAGAGCATTTAAGGAGCCACTATCATGTACTGGGTGCTATGCATGGCTCAGGAATACAAAGATTAATACAAAAGAGTCTTTGCCTTTAAGGGATTCCTTTACTAGGGAGCATTTTGCAGTATATGTTCCTACCAATTTAAATTTTTGAAAATGGAAATGACTCCCTATGATTAAATTCTCTTAGGTAGTCTGAAGTAGACTAGAAGAGAAATTAAAATGAAGCTAGTCGTAGGTAATACTAATCATTGTTATATCTTCTCAGAGGTTCATGTTCATTATAAAGAAATAAATTACTTCTTGTTGTTCTGACCTGTAGTTATATTTCTACCTATAACTGGTTTGACCACTTATGTTTCGTTCTTTCTTTGCCTTGTTCACTTTGCTTTGAAATCCTAAGCCATGAATAGGGAATCAGGTAGGAGGGGGTCCAGCAGTGTAGTTAGTTTATAGCTCACAGAGCTGCTTTAATTATTTCACTACATGTGTTTGAGGCTGTTGAGGGAGGTAGTAGTCCAGGTCAAGGATTTCATAATTTTGTATAATATGGCATTCAGATGACATAAATACAATGTACTTTGGAGAAGTTTGCCAACAACAGTGATCATAATTTGTAGTTGCTGTTCACATGTCTGTCATTCTTTTATATTAGTGTGATACTGAGTATTCTAAATCAGTGTTTAGTTAAGCCCCATTGCATTTATTCAACATTTGTTAAATGCTTTCTCTGGCAGACCTTTATAGCAGAATCCCTATTCTAAAAGAGAGATTGGAAAATAAAGCAGTGAATGAACAATGAATTAGTAGTACTATGGAATTCAAAAGAAAGAGAGCTTTTCAATTTTATTTGATTAGATTCATGAAAGGCTTCATGGTATAATAGCAAAATGGTGTTTAAATATACTCTAAATAAAATGGGGTTTAAATACAAAGAGTTTTGCATGGTAAAGACATGAGAGGAGGAAAAGGCAGAAGGGATATGCCATGCCAAGGGTATTAAATGCTATACAAAGCAAAGGTGAGATTCAGGGACCGGTTTGAATGGGGCTTAGGTTACGTGTCTGGAAATAGTAGAAAAATATCTGGAAATGCTGATATGTAGGTAGAAGTAAGTTGTGCAGACCTGACTTTTATCCGTATAACTTCACCCAAACTTATGCCAACAAACCACTTTCTCTGTATGTTCCTTTTAGAAAAGCAGAAAGTTCTGGATAGTTTAACACAATTTATCATCCTGAATAACAAAGTAAATGTGAGTCAATTTGGTATTTTTTATCTTTAAAAAATTTTTTTTTATTGAAACATAATTGATTGTATATATCTGTGGGGTACAGTATTGAATATCAATACCTGTGTGCAATATGTGGTGCTCAAATCAAAATAATTAGTATATTCAGCATTACACAATGTAATCATTTTTTGTGGCCCTTTACCAATTTCTTGCTAATCCTCCTCCTCCCCACTTCATTCCTCTGGTGGCCTCAGTTTGGTTCTCTCCTTTTGAAAATTCAGTGAATAATTGTGATTGTTGTAGCTTCCCTTCTTTATTTATTTGGTTGGGTTTTTTTTTTTTTTTTTTTTTTTTCCAGCTTCCACTTATGAGTGAGGACATGTGATATTAATCCTTCTTTGCCTGGCTTATTTCACTTAATGTAATTTTCTCTAAGTTCATCCATGTTGCCCTGAATGGCAGAATTTCATTCTTTTTTTTATGGCTGAGTGGTATTCCGTCGTGTATATATACTACATTTTCCTTATCCAGTCATCCCCCAATGGACATTTAGGTTGGTTCCAACTCTTGGCTATTTTAAATAGAGCTGTGATAAACATGGGAGTGCAGGTATCCCTTTGACATGATGATTTCCACTGCTTTGGGTATACACCCGGCAGTGGGATTGCTGAATTGTATGGCAGTTCTATCTGTATTGGTTTGAGGAATCTCCGTACTGTTTTCCATAGTGGCTGCACTACTTTACAATCCCAACAGCAGTGTAGGAGAGTTCCCCTTTCTCCATATCATTGCCAACATTTGTTATTCTCTGTCTTTTTGGTAATGGCCAGTCTAACTAGGGAGAGATGATATCTCAGTGTGACTGTGGTTTGCATTTCTCTTATGCTGAGTGATGTTGACCATTTTTTCATGTGTCTGTTGGCCTTATATCTTCCTTTGAGAAATGCATATTCAGCTCCTTTGCCCATTTTATAATCAGGTTACGTGTTTGTTTTACCCTTAATTTGTTTGAGTTCTTTGTGTATTCTGGATATTAATCTCTTGATAGATGGATAGTTTGCAAATATTTTCTCCCATTCTGTAGGTTGTCTTTTCACTCTGTTGTTTCTTTCGCTGTGCAGAAGCTTTTTAGT